ACGCCATGGTAGGCAAAAACATAAAGGGTCCCCTTCAACCCGTTGTCGACACCACGATCATCATAAATCTCGACATGATAATGACCATCAATCTCGAGGTGGAAATCGTAAAAGAAGCGTTTCAATAAAAACTCTGCCGTTGCCCGGGGTTCGAACAGTGTCACCATAGATAAGGATTAACTTAAATGATATGCCTCATAACGTTACAAGTGTGAACCCTCAGTCCCTACCTTATGTTATGGAACCACCAGTTACTCCAGGTTTGACAAGCAGATCAATGGCTGTTCCTGTTCTCCTATTGAAGGACAAATGTGGCCTAATAATATAACGGCAAATTTTAATGTTATACCAGAATTTGATCCTCCTGTTGATAGCCGAAGCATTGGTGGATTCAAAAAGCGAGAGCCAAAAGTTCATATAAATATTCCTGAGGGATTTAATTTTTAAATTTATATAATGAAAAGTAAAAAAATTGTCATAATTATTTAACTACCAACAGTGTTAGACTTTATAGTATAACTGTTCCTCAATAATAAACTTTTTCGGTCAATTTACCAATTTACCATTATACGCTCATTATATTCAATTATTAGAAATTAAAAGTTGTAAGTATTTTACACTGTAATTTTTCGATTTATTTTATTGTTATTAACACTTACGGTTTGATAACTCATTTTAGTGAATAAAATCATTTTACAAAGTATTTTACATATGTATTAGGATAAGTTATTTTGTATGCAAAACGTAACACAAAATATTATGCACTTTTTGAAGCGAGCATATTGTTGAAATTAGGAATAATTTTACATTAAAAATGGCAAGCTTTATAGAATCGTCAAAAAGCACGGTACCGTAACTTTACTCTGGGTGGTTCCTAAGTCTGTAAGATGGCAAATACTAAAAATGAATTATGACAATAACGGTCATTTTGGGTTTGAAAAGACATACGAACGTATCAAAAGGATCTACTGGTTCAAAAATATGAGAAAGTTCACTAAAAATATTGCAAGGCTTGTCTAGAATGTGCGCATAATAAAATGGTCGATCATTATGCAATAGTACTTAGCAATCTTCGCAATTAATATTAATATGAATCTATTTCAAACTACCTACATTAATTCTGGAATTGAGTCGCAATATAAAAGCGCGTACATACCTCGCCCTCCACGCGCCAGCATCCACTTAAAAGTCTCCACAAACAACTCACTGAGCATCACCCCCCCTCGGACCCATATTTGCTTCGGCGCAAAAAAACGCTCGTGGCAGTTGATTACGAACGGTGGTGCTGGGAAGGTCAAGTCTATTGTGAAATAAGGTGATTCTAAAGGTTGTGAATAAAATTAAATTAATATATAGTCATCTTTGTGAAAGTAAAGTATAGTGTGTTATAAAATATTATATACAATTTAAGAGTGAAATTAAACAACGAACATAGTGGTTAAACAGTTAACTAAGTGAGTTGTCGTGGTTTTATTGGAAAAAGCTGACAATATAGAATATTTTCTTTTTTTGAAACATTAAAGTTTACGCTTTCCTAAGAAATTATCGTCCCCGTTATGAAATCTGTCAAATATTTTAACTCATTTGTACCACTGTCGAGCGAACAGGTTAAAGTGGCGCTGCCCTGGTGGCAGAAAAATGGATGCCCTTATTAATGTAGCAGAAAAAGGTCTTTGTCATTCACTTTTTTTACTTTCCAACTGGGCCCCAAATTCTTGTGTGCCCAAGGGCCTCTGTATGGCCTAAGACGGCGTTGGGGACACGGTAATCCTCGAATCCAGAAACTTGTTCTATCACCGGGAGGAGTCAGATTTATCGTCTTCAAGTCTGTCGTTAACAATGTTGTAAAGATTGTGAGTATGTCGAAGAGGGTTGCGTACCTTATAGTAAGAATCATAAAACGGTATCCGTTGAAGGTAATACAGGTTTACGCATAGATCTTGGCACATCCCGAAGAGAAGGTGGAAAAAACGTACGAGGATATCTCTAGAGCCATGCATTCTTCCAAATCCTACTATACGGTGTTAATGAGAGACTTAAATTCAAGAGCCTCTGTATGGCCTAAGACGGCGTTGGGGACACGGTAATCCTCGAATCCAGAAACTTGTTCTATCACCGGGAGGAGTCAGATTTATCGTCTTCAAGTCTGTCGTTAACAATGTTGTAAAGATTGTGAGTATGTCGAAGAGGGTTGCGTACCTTATAGTAAGAATCATAAAACGGTATCCGTTGAAGGTAATACAGGTTTACGCATAGATCTTGGCACATCCCGAAGAGAAGGTGGAAAAAACGTACGAGGATATCTCTAGAGCCATGCATTCTTCCAAATCCTACTATACGGTGTTAATGAGAGACTTAAATTCAAGACTAGGCACAAGAGAAAACTGTGAGCTGAAGGTAAGGAAATTCGGATATAAGGCAATGGAATCCAAGGGGCCAGCAGCTGGCCGACTTTATGGAGAAAGAGGGAATCTATGGTAAACTCTTTCTTACAGAACGGCCACACAGAAAATGGACCTGGTGGAGCCCAACGGTTAGAAAATAATATAAGATTGACTTTACTATGGCGACTAGACGGCAACTGTTCAGTTGTGTCTCAGTGATCGCGAGGGTGAAAACTGGCAGCGATTACCGAATGGTGAGCGGCACATTCAACCTAAACGGTAAGTTGGACAGGCCACGTCGAATGATGTCAACGCTTTTTCCCCCTTGTGCTCTAATCCAAAGTCCCGAACACTTTTAGCTCGAGTTACAACACCGTTTTCAGTGCCTAGAAGCCTGGTAAGCTCGTGGAAACTGTCCATGCGGTCGGAGCTAAGTTCTGCCAGACCCGTCGCTGAAGAAAATAAAAACCGCTCTGCGCTGGATGCAAACAAATGGAAGGAGCTTGCACTAGGGAGCCCCAGCCAAGAGATGGGAACAGTATTCCATGTGCGGCCGAATCTGCGCCTTGTAAAGTTGCAAGCGGTGAGCCGGCGTGAAATACTGTCCCACTCTGCTGAGCACGCCAAGCTTTTTAGTCCAATGTGGTCTTCCCTTCCAAATGACCACGAAACTGCACGTTACTCGATATATCGACGCTGAGGATTACGATACTGGCTAAGGCAACAAGGAGAGTGCCTTGAAACTGAGGAGATACGACAAAGGGATTCTTTTTAGGGGTAAACGCGCAAACTTGTGTCTACTGGGGATTAAATCCGACTAGATTTAGTCGCCCCCAGTCCGAGATTCAACAAAATCTCGGGTTCAGTAACTAGTTTGACCTGGTACTCGGCGATGTTTTCCCGAGAAATATTGGCACGGCCGGTGTATAAAGCATCACAAGTGCTGTCGTCTGCATAGCAATGAATGTTAGCGGTTTGCAACATGTCATTGATATGCAGAAGAAACGGCGTTGGTGATAGCACACAGCTTTGTGAAACACCAGCGTTAATGGGCTTGTAATTGGAGCACGCACCGTCTTATACGACCTTGATGCTCCGATCACCAAGAAAACTGGTGATCCAATTGCAATTTCTCGGGAAGCACATAGGATGGAAGCATCGTAAGAAGTGCTTTGTGCCATACTCCGTCAAAAGTCTTCGCTATGTCCAAATTAACGGCCAACGCCTCCCCTTTGGACTCTACTGCTTCTGTCCATCTATGAGTTAGATAACCCAAAAGATCACCAGCCGAGCGACCGCGACGGAAACCGTACTGGCGGTCACTAATCAGCTGGTGATCCTCAAGGTACCGCATGAGCTGGCTGTTAATAATGGATTCCATAATTTTGGAGAACAAGGTGGTGATGGCGATAGGCGATAGGCCTATAGTTTGACGGATCAGAGCAGTTACCCTTTTTAGGGATCGGATGCACGAAGGCTGTCTTCCATGATTTAGGGACTACGCCTAGGGAGTAAGAGTACCGGAAAAGACTCGTTAAAACCGGTGCCAAACGTAGCAGAAATTCACGGATAGCGTGGCAGGGGGCGCATTTAACTTATTGCTCAGTTTGCCCCGAGTAGGTTTTATCTCGAACAGAATTTTGCCCCGCTTTTAATTTTTTGAAAATTTATAACTTCTTTATTTAATTTTCTAGTTTTAAGAATATCCGTAGTTTAGTATAAACGGGTAACATTTGTAATCTAATTAATACATTACAGGTGGTAAAATTAAAAAATTTGTACAACCGACTTCTATACGTACGAATCAGTGTAATTTGAAGTCAATTAAATAATAATAATAATTAATAATAATAATTTATTTGACTCTCAATTAACAGGTTACACTTATGTATTATATCTATTTAAAATTACAAAATTACATTTCAAAATTAGTTGGCGTTGATGGCCATACTAGTATAAACTGTGTTACAGCCGTCTGCGTCTTCTGCATATAAGCAAATACAATACGCATTAATAATAACGCAAAATACGCATTATTTAAGCATAACTTAAAAACTACTGGTCAGATCTTGATCAAATTTATGTAGAACCACACGAGAACTACCAGCTTTCAAATAAAAATAAATATCAAAATCGGTTCACCCAGAAAAAAGTTCTGATACAACACAGATAAAAAACGACTGTGCGTTCGTCGTGACGTGAACTATAAAATGAATTCACAATTTTATTTACTTTAAGCGTAGAATATTAATTTAATGTATTGGACAAAATATTACTTCATAAAATTGTTCCAAACGAAATAACATTAGGAAAAAACTGGCTATGAGATACGAGATAATAGTATACTGCTGAACATAGACTTCTCCCATAGATCGCTTCAAAAGAGGCATTTTTCCATAGTTGCCACGCTTGGCAGGTGGTTTAGCAATCGCAGTTTTTATTATTTTGAGTAGTTTTAGGAAGATGGCACTGCTCATTTCCGGTTTCATTTTCCATCTATCGTCTCTTACGACACCCACGGGACGATGTAGTCCCCTGAGATGAAAACTGTCAAATATTTTATTACATTCTTAAGTGGCGTCACCGTGGTGACAGAACAAGTGATGGGTGTCCTCATTAACGGGTTGCTGTTGCGCAGGCACGATCCGGCGGCACCTGGAGCAGAGCGCGCTGCCGCAGCTGGTGGTGGTGTGCGGCGGCGGCGTGGAACTGTCGCCGCTGAGCGCGCTGGCCGCGCTGTACTTCCCGCGCAGCGCGCGCGAGGCGCTTAGCGCGGCCGCGCGCCTGCCCGATCCCGGCGGCCCGCCCGAGCGCCGCATCCGCATCATACACAACCCGCACGAGCCGCACGAGCCACACGCAGGTCAGTGACTCGCCCGAGCGCCGCATCCGCATCATGCACTACCTGCACTCTCGTGCGCGCCGCACGAGTTGCACGCAGGTTATTGAACCCGGCACGTGGAATAGCGCAGTGCATGTTCTTCTTGAATAAGAAAAATTAATAATAATAATCCTCCGAATCCGAATATCAGTCAAGGCGGCCAAATGGTTATGTTTTGTCTCTTTATACCATGCCAAATACGCGAGTAAGTACACTCGTATCTTCTGACTTACGAGAAAAATAACATACCAATTGTAGTAATATTATGTATGACGTTATTTCACAAAACATGAAGTCTTTAATCTATAGCGATTTCGTTGTCAATGTTAGCAACAGTCGAAATCGCTATACTTGTTTTTGTTTACATATTTATTTATTTTTTATTACTTTTTTATATGATTATATTAAAAAGATAAATAAAATGGGACTGAAACTTTATTAAACTTTATTACTTAAGTAATAAATCATCATCACTACACACACAATTATCATCACACTGTAAATATTCATCTCCCAAACTTTAAAAACGAATAGTTAGTTACTGAATTAATTATACGGATTTTATCGCTTTTAATTTAATTTTAATACCCTACGTTTCGGGTGCTTTCCAGCACCCATGGTCACGAGGGACTGAGCGTTGGTGTCTCACGTCCGGGAAGTCTGCAGCTTGTGATCATACACTAGACGGCCACCGCCATTACATCAAATTCAAGACCACAAATCCTCGCGAAAGAACATCGATTCCTGCCAAGGATGACAAGAGGCTACTGAAATTAAAAAAAACATCCCAATTTCCATAGAGAAGGATCCAAAGGAATGGATCAGGATCCCAAGCAGTTGGCTACGACCACCTGCTTGAGATCCTGTAATTAATAAAATTAAAACTAAACGCAAGCGTATCACTGCAAGACTTTAAGACACAGTAAGTTCATTCAGCCTAGATTGAACCAAATGTAATAATTAAAAACCTGAAGGTACTCCGGGTTAACTCTGACATCGGGACCTCAATCACCTCAGTTCTCCGTAACCATGGGTGCTAGAATGCACCTTACACGTCGGGTATTAAAATTAAGGTAAATTAAACGTGTTAAAATCTGTAAAAATAGTTTTATTCATTGTGTAGTGTTCGCGTAAATATAAGAAATCTATATATAAGTTTAAGAGTTATAAAAGTGTTGTCATTCATCTGTATATAAACGAGATTGATCCTATTTCAAATAATCAAATAATTTATTTATAAAACATAGGTAAAAAGTTACAAACTTGGTGGAAAAGGTATGATAAGTAACGTTTCTACGTTTCGCCTACAAAGGCATACAAATATTTGTTTATCACTATCACCTGGCAATATGAAAATTAATTTTTAGTAAAATAACAATTTCAATTATAATTAGTATGTTTAGAAATAACATTAATTATTATCTTAATTATCAATTACATAAATAACTAAAACTTAAAAAAATCGTCCATTAATTATTGTAGGTACTAAAAACCATTCATTTTATCTTCAAAGTATTCGTTGATAGAGTAGTATGCTTTATATATTAAAAAACTCGAAAGCAATTTTTTAAATTTGTCTATATTATCAGTTTCTTTGATGTTTTTTGGGAGTTTATTAAAAATCGTTTAAAATTTTTGGGAGTTTATTAAAAGTCGTTTATTATTAGCGTTTTCAAATATGCTAAAATGTTTCCTTACAAACATAGCTACTTCGAATATATATAAAGATTTGTATTCCCAACTCTATATGCTTATTTAATACTTGCGCGGCGGAAAATAAAACCATCTAGATAGTTAGCTATATCTGCTTTGATGAAAATATTTCGAAGTCGTGAAGTGAGGGCAGGAACTTTATAATGTCGTGTAGCGACGGCGTAAAAGAATTCGCTACCTCCTGGCAAAGAATATATACCGTTTCATAGAACTCAAACTCAAACATTTTATTGCGTTCACGTGGTTACATAAATAGTTCTTAAGTTGGATATATTAGAGCCAAACAGGAGCCCTGATAGGGCGTAGCAATATTATATTATATTATGTTATAAATCAATTTATTCTTATCAATTTAGAAAGACTAATTTTATTTTATTTACTTAAACTACTACATTACTTTTAGGTTTAATAAACATTTGCAATATTTACAACGATATTAAAGAGGTATACATATTCAAAATAAACAATTATTATTTTTCACCGAAAAACTCTGACAACGAATAGAAACTTTTTTCAATTAAATATTTTTTAAGCTCTCTTTGAAATTTATACAACGATTCTTCTTTTTGTAGACATTTGGGAATTTTATTATAAATTTTTACACACATACCATGGGATCCTGATTGAACTGTTTGTAGGTGCATATTCTTTTTAACAAATGTGCATACTTCTAGTATATATATATATATATATATATATATATATATATATATATATATAATTGTTAATATTTTTAGTGAAATAAAGTAGGATTTACAGCTGTCAGTGCTATCTGTGTTTGTAATTATTCCGATACATTTTTTTTTGTAAAATAAACAATTTATTTATGTGTGCTGTTTCCCCACAGTAAAATGCCGTACTTGAGCCATGCATGGCCATAAGCATAGTATGCACACGTGGCTGTTCTTGAATCTGTAACTTTTTTAAGTTCGTATAGTGCATACGAGAAACTGGAAAGTTTAGATGATACTTTCTTTATGTGTTCTTTCAAATTTATACCTGATTCTATGTTTATACCTAATAATGTATATGAATCAACACATTCTAGTTTAATATCGTTGTAAGAATAATTTATATATAGGGGGCATTTTTGATACGGCTTAAATTGTATTATCTTAGTTTTTGTGTAATTTATGACGAGATTGTGATTTTTAACCATTTAGAGATATCTGTAAGTACACTATCTAGACAGTTGTTAAGATTGTTGTTAGTATTATTGTCGAAAGGTATAAAGGTACAGAAAGATTGTCTGCAAACAAGGTACAGGGAGCTTTGACTATTTTCGGCAAATCATTAATATAAATTAAAAATAATAAACAACCGAGAACACTACCCTTTTTTTTTTTTTGCATGGGGAAATGCCTACGCATACCCGCCTCGCGGGGGCAAGGACGGGTTATGTCGGACTCGCACCGACTAAAACCCCATGGTGTTCCACCTTTGTCGCATATTGGCAGGGCTACGGGAACGCTTTCGCACACATCCGCGGCCCTACTAGCGCCTGCCGCCCCATGGCAGCACCTCCTCGGGAGAGGAAAATTCCTCCCCGTTCTCCTTCCCAGGTAAGGCGCACCAGAACACATGGCGCGCCTTCCTCCACGGCCTCCAATTACGTCTATGCAACAGACGCCCCCGCGTCCGATGCACAAAGGCCATGGGGCCAGGAAAAACGAGCACTTAGAAGTACTAGCCTTCCCGACCCCAGCGGCGGATCTGGTCTATGGCTCCGCCGACAACCAAGATTCGGCTGCGGAGGGTAGGGAGAGCGGCGCCTCGCAATACCGACAATCCTCTCCCCCCGCAGCCCCACCACCACCGCATCAACGGTGCGGCCCCGTTTGAGTCGCGAAGGATAGGGCGAGTGGCGCATCGCCATACCAACACTCCTCTTCCTCCGCGACTCCACCTCGGCTGCAGCGGTAGAGGGTGCGCGAGTCCCCACTCGCTGCAGTCCACCAGCACACATCCGAAGTGGGCTCCCCAAGCCCACTCGGAGTGGCCACCCCAGGCCGGCCCTTCACCTCGGGCCAGCCACGTGGGTTCCACTTTGTTCACCGTGGTCGACCAAGCCACGGCTACTAAGCCCCCCGCCACGACAAGGCGGGAACACGTTCGGGGGGGGGGGGAGAACACTACCCTGTGGTATTGATTTAGTGACCGGTGCAAATTGAGACCTGACTTTAATCACATTTCCACTGGCTAGGTTATGGTGTTCTATCTCTACACACTGCTTTCGATTGGTCAGGTATGATTCGAACCAGTTGTATGTTGGGCCTCTTACTCCTATTCCGTGTAACTTCCGTAAAAGTTTGTCAAATAGAACTCGATTATAGGCTTTGGTCATGTCCAGTAAAATACCGATCGCGTATTTCTTTTTATTAAATAAATTTAATATTTCATTGACATATATGTATACTGCTGTAGTTGTTAATCTGTTTTTGCGAAAGCCATATTGATTGTCATTTAATATATTGAACTTTTCGCCGTAACATTATAGTCTATTAGCCATAACGGATTCAAATATTTTTGAAAACGTTGGAAGAATAGCAATAGGGCGATAGTTGTTACAGTCAGTTTTAGAGCCTTTTTTATAGAGTGGTTTAATTATTGAAATTTTTAGTTGGTCTGGAACTTTACTTTCTGTTAACGATTGATTTATCAGGAATGTCATAACTGGGGCTAGTTCTTCGGCGCATTTCCTAATTAGACAAGGCGGTAAGTCATCATGACCGAAGCTACGCTTGTTTTTTAAATTACGTATACATTTTATAATTTCTTGATTAGTAGCGGGTTGTAAAAAGAATGAATTCTTTACGGGATGAAGGACAGGCTGAACGATTGCACCTGTTGTGCCAAAAGTATTGTTATCATTACCAACCGACAAAAAGAAATTATTGAAACACTCAACTATTTGAACAGGGTCCGCAGTGATACTATTTTGGACATTCAGTTCCATGTTCTTTTTATTTTGTGTAAGCTTATTAATTTGTTCCTTCACAACATTCCACATTGATTTTATTACATTATCTGAATTCTTTATTCTTTTAATATTATAGTTCTTTTTTGAAATATTTACAGTTTTTTTTAAGTATTTTTGAGTAATATTTATAATACTTGTTTAGTACTGGATTTTTTGTTTGAGATGATAATTTTTCTTTTTGATGAGTCTTTTATTTTTGCACGATGTTTTGATTCCATTGGTAAGCCATGACTTTTTCTTTATGCTTCTTATTTTTATGAGAATTTTTGGTATAGTTTCATTTAATATATGATTAATTTTATTACAAAATGAGTT